TTGGCTTATCCATTGTCGCCATTCATTTTCTTTATCCAGTTTACTTCTTTCTCTGGCAAGCTTCCGATTTCTCGTTGAAAATATTGTCACCTCTCGGATTTCTTCGAGTAATATGTCTGTTATATGGTTGAATGAGCCATCTATTATGGTTTAGGTAAAATTATGTCGCGAATAGATAATTATATTTCAAACATTTGTAAACTGGCTGATGAATGGTGTCTCATTTAAATTTAGAATAATTTTGTAAATATTATTGGAGTAAGGAAAAAAAATAGTTTATGTATTGCCCAATATTGTACACATTATTATTATGTACAATACTTGTACATAATAACAAATTCATAGTATTTAAATGCATGGTTCATCCAACCATGTAACAAACATATTACTCGAAGAAATCCGAGAAGTGACAATATTTTCAGCGAGAAATCGGAAGCTTGCCAGAGAAAGAAGTAAACTGGATAAAGAAAATGAACGGCGACAAGGGATAAATCAAGGATATTACAATAATCAATTATATATTACCGAGACTCGATATATTTAGTGTTACACTATTCGCAACTAAACCCTATATACTATATATCTATATATTTTCAGAAATTACATCAATGTATATTGCAATTTTATGACAGCGCAAATGTTATTGTAAACATCTGACCTAACGCCCTATTAAACCAAATTTCACGTGTTGATGTTCTTATGAATTAATGAATTCAAAACTTCTAAATTCATACTCATCCAGAGATCGTATTATTATAACTCGTCTTGATATCAGTTGCAAAGCTACGAAATCAAAAATACACCGTGCCATTTAAAAAGATCAAGGTTACCTTGACTTAACTATTTAATTTGTATATAATTAAGTATTTTAGTTTACAGCTGATTCAAAACAGATCAACTTCTGTTCGAAATATTATTTTACATTATATTATCAGAAGAGCTTGAAAAATCGAGCATGCCATTTCACTGAACGCTCTGTATATCCTTTTATTGACAGAGATTGACGATTCATTATTATTTGTTAAGAAATTATAATAATAATGTATAATTATATATTTAAAAAGATATAGCCTATATACAGGTATTTTCCGTAACAATACCCCTGCAATACGAATTCGCTATTAACACGGATTGACAATTGGGGAAATTCCCGTACAAAATGGCATATAATGAGAATCTGTAGAGAAGATTCAACAAGACAAAAATTATGTGGCGTCTGGATATTGAAGCTGCATACTGCACATGTTTAACACCACCCTTCATATGGTATCAAATATTGTATAATTTAGCTTTCTATGTATATGTACCTGAACATATACATACGACACGGATGCTTCTATCACAGAAATAACAGAGACTGAAATGTTAAATTGATAATTATTACAGATCTACTCAAGGGATCGATCAATATAGTAATATATTCAATTGAAAATAAATGATCGATCGAATGAAACGATATCAATAAAAGAATGTTACATAAAATTTAAAAAGATGTATTATATGACAAGTAAATTGTTAGAAGCTTCTGTAACGAGTATAATACATCTTTTTTCGAAATAATCCTGAACGCTCTTATTACTGAAACTTAAAGAATCGATTCCCCGCTCACACTTGGGTAATTAGCGACCATTTAAATGCACGTGCACTCGAACCAACGGCTAAACCCTGCAATTTTGTTCAAGGGATGGTCAGCGTTTGTACCAATTAAAAAGAAAAAACCTCAGAGACACCCCCTCGTCGACTCGTTATTTACACCGCAAAAGAGACGCACGTGCTCGTCCAATTCCGAGCCTATAATCCTCTCTTAATCACTTGGCTGTACGCTAACAGGTGCAAAGCAATTGCCTCTCTTTCTTTTGGTCGCAGGAAGTCACGCGGCTCTCCGTATTCTGTTTCATAATATATCAGAAAATTATTTAAACGTGAAGATTTAAACAGAAAATATACAAATTATAATATAATATATATACATTAAAAAATTTCATATGTTGTTAAACTATATTATCTAATTTTACCTTTTTGTTTTGAGACTAAATGTACGTTTTTGTTATTTCTTTCAATATTTAAAAAATACTGATTGTTATACGTTATATTATATTTCATAATATTAGTTATGTTCTTAGACATTTATAAAACTAGGTATAGATATAAATATACTGCCTATTTTTAAAATAGTTATTATATATAATCATCTTGATCATAAAAAGTCATATGATACTTCTTATTTTGTTGGTAATATATTAAAATGTAAATGCTATGAAGATTATTGGAGAAAAATATATGACAAAGTATATTTTTCGTGTTTTACGAATCATGTATATGTGCCTATCATTATACGGGGTGTCCCGTAGCATCAGGAAACGCTTCAGCGGTGGATTCTGCACATAAAAACGATAAAAAAAAGTTCGCATAAACATATGCCCTATTTGATCTTGTTTTCGAGTTATAGCGACATCTTTAACAAACTACATGTATTTGCCTACCTTCGCAAGAAGTGTCCAAAATGACTTCCTTGCGTCCGAACACGAGGCTGAAGGCGTTCTATCATTGACTGCCTTACTCTCACCATTTCTTCAGTTCTTCAGATACTAAATTCCGCGAAATTAATTCAACTACTTCCATCTTTCGATAGAATTATTCCAACATAACTCAAAAGCAGAACCAAATAGTGCATAAGTTTGTATGAACATTTTTTATTATTTTCGAAAACAAAATCCACCGCTGTGCCGAAGCGATTCCCCGATCATATGGGTCACCCTGTATTTCAATCACTCAACTAATTAAACTCATTAAATCAATCACCAAACACTTTTCAAAACCTAAACAAATCAATAAAATTTAAGTCATACTATTTTCTCACGAATACACTTTCTAAGTCATTTCTCCGTCAAATTCGTAAAAACCGTTACCAAATATTTTCCGAAACCCTAAAAAAGTCAACAAAAACTTGCATCATGCTAATTGCTCCTAGATACTGGAATTCTAATTACCTCTAATTCATTTTTCCACATCAATCCGTAAAACTGATCAAGATAGATAATCAGCTAATCTCTTCCCAATCAAAAAATGTCAACAAAGCTTTATGTATATCATAAACGCAGATTTTTTAGATCAAATTTGAAGGTGCAAAAATGTACAAAATGTACATAATATATTCACAGTGAAGTACTTCTAATAATATTTTATGGGTAAAAAAGATCTCTATATATGTCTCATTTCTTCAGTTATGTTAATAAAAATGTAAAATTATATAAAATTCCGTAGTCTATACGTCCGATTGATTCTTTTTAACTCTTAGCATATCGAAGATAAATCGAAATTGTTTGTCAATTCTTTTTCGTTATTGATATTTGTTATGATAACTTTTATTCCTGTATATTTATTTATCAGAATTACTACTTATTCGTATAACGAAAACACTGGCAGTGGCTATTGATAAACCGTAAAAACAGCACAGAGATCTTTAAATGGCCCACCTTGTTATATTAAAAGTTAAGTACACTATTTATAAAGGTTCAAATCCCTTATAACTAAACTGCGGATATTTATACAAATTTATACATTTTTATAAATACGATTAAAGAGATAGCACCTGGAACTGTGTACCTACCAGATAAACATTATAGAGACTACGATACCATACTATATATATTTTGGATATTTTATATATTTTGCATATTATATGCATGCTGTACATTTTTACACTTTTGAATTTCTCGTGAATGCGTAAAAATCCGCAGTCTACTTACAACTCATATTTTCACAATCACTCCACCAAACTCATCGACCACTCTTCCAAACCCTAAAAGAATCAACAAAGATTTATATCACGTTAATTTATCCCAGAAACTCTAAATCTAATTCCTTCTAACACATCTCTCCACATCAATTCGGTAAATTCATCGAAACGATCACAGTGTGTGAACGTTCTTCGAAACCCAGAAAGGACAAACGAGGTCGGTCATTTAAAACTCCCACACCACCCGTTATATTCTCTGGTAATGAACGCAACCACCTTGAACTGGCAAACGGATGAACGGGCAGCCAGAGCCAGAGTCTGTAAGAGCAAACTTAAGCTGAAGAGAGACAAATAAAGAGAATAAGTGAGAAGGAGAGTGAGACTGAAGGGGTGTGAGGTTGTTTAGGGTAAGAGGGAGCGAAGAGACGGCGTGCTAGCCACTAAAAGGGGTTGCGTCCTCTCTCCAGTGCGACGGAAGCACCTTTCTGTGTCCCATCACCACCTCCTTTTCCCTTTTGCCCTTCGAGGGAACTCCCACTCATAGCCAGCCGTTAACTCCAGCATTTGTACGCGTGTATACACGCGTCCCTGCATTCGAATGCCTTTGCATGCGTGTCCTCGTCCTTCATGCGTATCTGATAAGCCATTGACGGCTGAATGATCTGACGCGATTACGCGTTGCTTTGTCCAATTGCTTCGGTGGTGTCTTCCATCTAATGGAAAATTCAGTATCCTTTGTCGTTTTCTCTTTATTTCATTCTTTTCTTGTTTTTTGTTTTTGGATTCATTTTGGATGGGAACATCTCAACCCTTTAGAGCATAATGGGATAAGTTTCAACTCTTTGTGACACAGTGGGTATGGTTACCTAACCATATCTTATTAGCTGTTAAAACACTACATTGATCAATTCCATAACTTAAAAGTACTGAAAAAGACGATGGCACGAACTTCGGTGCATAGTGGGACAAAAATATGCCGCCCTTTTAATACTTATACAAAATTAATATCAAATCAGTAGGAATGTAGAAAACTTTCCGCGCAATTTACTTAATTCACCATTTCGTTTTACGCGATTTTTTCCTCAATTTAAAACATTAATAACGTACCTTTCTTCTTCTACGATTTATATCTGTAAAATTAAAAGTTTGGGTTAAACTTGGATTTAGAAACTGTAATATGTGAAATATCCATTTTTTAGATAAGTATAAAAACAATTGAATGATGAATTTGTTAATACGTAATATTTAACGTAATTTTCATTTACATATTTTGGCTTTTATGGCTCTTTGGCTCTAAGAGTTTTAACCTTAATACTAACTTCCTGCAATCACATTTAGTTGTAAAACTTTATTATAACTAAAATTTGTATCATTTCTTATCTTTGATTAATATCAGGAAATCTTCGTTTTATATCTATCAATATGAATACAATACGAAAACTAGATAGTATCATGACAAAGTCACATATCTACTTTTTACAGAAGACAATTTTAAAATGCTAATATAATTTCAACCAGTCTCAAAATTGTCTTTTTATTTCGTTTAGGTGTTAGATACTTACATGTTTTTATTAGCCTCTCGAACATATCAAAAATGCTGAAAGCTAGATTTAATACCATATAATGTCACATCGGTTATAAGTATTATGGATCTTTTTATCATTCGCTTTTCGTGGTCTTCGTATAAATTTTTCCAAATAAACATTTTCCATATTACAATTTTATAATTTTATGTCATAATATACCTGCTTCTGAAATATTCGGCAATCAAAATTATATTGACTACGATGGCACACAATGTGACAAAGAATGCAACAATCAACAGAGACAAGCCTAAAATTAATTTCCATTTCAGCGTGCCATAATTGTTGTAATGTATCAGAATATACAGAGTAATTGGAATAATGGTTGATAAAGTCGATGAACAAACAGCTCCTACCACAGCGATGAATAAATCCAATTTAGGAATTATCGCTGCCAACAAACCTGTAATTTTGATTTACGTTTCGTCAAATTTATACGATCGCTCAAAAGTCTGACTATATTTATAGAATATGTACTCTATAATACATCGGACTACAAATTTCAGAATCTAATATCTTACACAGTAGTTCGATTTTTATTTTTATATATACAAAAATAAGGATAGGAAATTTTCTAAACGAAAAATTAGTCAATGCAAATGAAATATTAACTCGTTTGATTGGCGTTAAAGTGCCATAGTGGACTCGTATTTTATTTAAAGAATTCTCAAAAATATAACTGATACACCGCAGATGTTCATAAAAATGCAATAAGTTTCAAAACTGTTTCAAAAAGAAATGGAAACCCATACGAAGCGAGAAGTATTTCTATGAAATGAAAAAATATGGTGAACTTGAAGAATCGTGTTGTGAAGAATCGTGAAGAATCCTCTTCGATTTCGATGATTTTTAAAATATGGGTAGAAAGCTCAATATTTTAAACAACATTTTCTTATACATATAACCGTCGGCCAACCTTAGTTTCCGAGGTATTCGCGAAAAACCGTGAATATCACTACACTATAGTTCTGTCTATGATTGTACGTCTATGGATATGCTTATAAATCTGACCCTAACGTCTCCTCCCACATGCATATGCGGGACAACAAGAATGTAGGAAATATCTGTTATAACGTATAACTCAATTAGAAGTGAATATCAGCAAAATATTAGGTTTGAGTTTAGGATAGTATTTTCAATCCAGCCGCTGCGAGGCGACCGCCAACGTTTGAGTAAAACGATAAAAATTATTCTATTTCGTAATATAATATCAATTATTTATTCGTCTATTATTTTAATATTAATTTCTTATTATTTCACGCAAATGTTGCTGGCCGCCTCGCGACAGCCGTATTGAAAAACCTGACCCAAACCTAAATCCAATACATTGATGACATTCACTTTTAATTGAGTTGAGTTATAATAGACACTTCTTGCATCCTCGCATATGTACGTCATGCACGGGGTTTCTAAGCTCGGCTGACCCTCGTTTACAAACTCAAGATGATCAGCCGGTGGCCGGCAACTAACACTAACATACGCTGCCACAGACGCACGACTATATACAGAAATATACTGTTGTAGTATCTGCAGTTTTGTGCGAATATCTTGCAAACTAACCGAGACCGATGGTTATATGTATAGGAAAAATTGTTCAAAATGTTGATTTCTATAACATATTCAATAATCACCGAAATCGGAGAGGACGGAACGGTTCTACAAACTCACCAAAAATATTTTAACCTTAAAAAGCAAATATATAAGAATTTTCGACAATTGTTGCAAATATTATACAGAGTGGTTGGTAACTGGTGGTACAAGCGGAAAGGGGGTGATTCTACGCGAAAAAAGAAGTCGAAAATATAGAATAAAAATTTTTTTTTTTAATTTTTCCATCGAGACAACGATCTATAGTTAGATCCGTTATAACGTACCGCACGCGCACCGAGCGAAAATTCAAAGTTGATTTTCTCAAAAACAAAACCTCAAACGACAAATTTTTATATTTTATATTTTCGACTTCTTTTTTCGCGTAGAATCACCCCCTTTCCGCTTATACCACCAGTTACCAACCATCCTGTATAACAGGAAAATTCACATTGAATAAAATCGTAAATACAGTACTTGTTTATTTCTTATTCGATTAGTTAAATATCCGCAAAATAATCATCGAACATATTAAATTAAATCCCATTAACAATCAGTGTCGTTTAATAATCCAATTGTCTGCCCAATGTCATTCGCAATAAGAGAAAATAATCCATAAAATGTATATTATTTGTAGGAAGGTTAAGATATTATATAAATATTTGCATAAATGTTATAATATGAAATTTTTCTGATTTCTTTACTCGTCCGCTTACTGACGAAGAATCAATCACAAGATCGGTAGTTAGCCCAGCGAAGCATCCTTTATTAGAACGATGAATACTTGCATCAAGAGTTCCGCTATGGCGCGCCACGAGAGAAACTGGGCTATCTATACTAAATTTCACGAAAATAGATTCTGGAACTTTGGTAATATCTAGCTTGTGATGGACTGCCATCGGATCGATTGATCGATTTCGCGAACTTGCCTCGTGAGAAAGAGGAGATTCAACCCGTTGCAACCGATCAAACTTCCCTTTGAGTTTACCTTGAAAATATAAAAGAGAAAGGAAACGAACAGAAGAAAGAGAAATTTTTGTCTAAGATTGTTTTTTCGTCGTATTCGTTCGTTTTTGTTGGAGCTGAATATTGAATAAAATTTAGATTTCTGTCAAATATTAAAAGTGTAGCATTAATTCTGTTACAGACCTCGTATTTTTTATTTCAAAATATTCTGAATGATATCTGAATTATACCCTTGTTTTGACAGACAAAGAGATATTTAACAAAACATTTTGTCTTTGGCAAAATGTTGCAACGAAAAATTACACATACAAACAAAAATTGCTTTTAGTAACAAAGATATCCTTTTCTTTTAAACTTAAGAAATTTATACTTAATAGAAAAATAGAATTGAGTAGATTACTCGAAAAACGCGGCGGGATTAGATATGTATAGTGTTAAGTATTTTGTAAAATTAAGCAAATGCAAAATTGAAAGAGTGAGGGGAATGAAGACAATTATACGATAGTGAGATTATGCGTTACATAACTTACTACAAACGCAAACAGAAAGGTTTTCTTCTAAAAGGAAGTAACGTATGCGAAATGAAAAAAACAAACGTGAAATACTTAAAGAGAAAAGATCAGAATTCTAAATGAAATTGTTTTCCACGAAACACAAATATTTTAAACAAAAAGAAGATGAAGAACTATTAAAGATATTTTTTGCGCCATGAGAAAGATCTTTTTATTTAAGAAAAAGAAAAGAAATAAAGTAAATAAATAAAGGAAATAAATAAATAAAGGTATAAAAGATGCGAAAGATACGAAGTTATACATCACGATAGAATTATGTTTGCTAAAGGTAAACTGAGAAAAGCTAAAATATGCTGCTTGAAACAATTATTGACACTCATCAACCGTAGACTCAGAAAAAATTCAACGATTTCTGTTATATGACAATCATATAAGCTTATTAATGTTATACTTTAAACAATCTACAGTGATTACAAAAAGTATTTGCACATACCTCTAGTTTCCTGCGGAGAATTTTCTTTGTAGGGTTTTACATTTTATAATATCAAATTTTTGTAATCATATGAAAATATTCGATACTAAATAATATATAGTGTAATATACTTTGATCTAATTATTTAGTATGTAGACGCTATAATAAGTTCAGTGGTTTGTATATACTTTTAATAGCCACCGTATTGCCTTAAGCCTTAGTGAGTTACCTACTTATAAACTTTTATATTCGGAATATCAGATATTAATCTATAAATGCGAATTAATGGTAAACTATCTACTGTATAAAAAAAATGTTCAAAGCTGTGTCTCGCTATTTTTCTTGTATTTCATAAAAATCGACTATTTGCTTTTTTCTTTGCTTTCTTGTCTTCTGTACGATAGGTTTCACAAGATAAAAGTTAAAATACCTGCTAGGCCAATGGTTTTTCGACGTGAATAGATTAATAATTATTTATATGATTCAGTTTAAGAAAACGTGAATCACAATCTCTACGCGTTCATCTCGAGAAGAAATAATTATATCAGATTATGTTCTCTGTAAAACCATTCAATTTCTGCCTTCCCTTTATACAGCAGGTAATTTACCAGTAACTCGTATTTGTACATTAAAATCGGATACTTTGTATATTACATGATTAATATTAAATAAAACTGAGTGAAAATATATAAATAATTTCTAATGCCAACGTAGTCGAAACGTAACTATAAGTGAAGAAAAAATTTAAAAAATCCAAACAATTAGAGAATTGCTGCTATGAAAGATTCTATTAAAACATATCGACATAAATAAGATTTACATGGTACTGCGATAGAGATTAACTTTAAAGCAACCAATAAAAAAATGTACAAACGCGAAAGATAAATATGAAAAACAGAAATACAAGGAGAACGATCCTCTAATCGTTTTGAGCACAATAGGTATAAGAATTTCTTTACACGTAATTAGGCTGATGCCCAAACGAACTGTCAGATTCCAACCACATGAAGTTCCGTAGATTGACTTTTTATTAAGTGCTAGAATAATATACTCGTCCAATAAGATAATAATTGGCATATAGCATTGTAATCCATATATGAAATATATCGATAGACCCTGCATCACGAATGCAGATATTGTTCTCCTAACAAAATAAAATAATAATATCGTGTTATTGACTATATTATAGAATACACAAGCCTTCATAAATATTCCGACACTTTGATTCATTTGTATTAAAATGTATAAATTAATGATAAACTAATGATTGAAAACAACGTAGCCAAAATACAAGGTAGCCAAAAACAATAATTCGATAAAAAAATGTTACAAGTATCAGACAAAATCAGATAAAAATCTATTTTTTTGATAATACGAAAAAATATGGGGATTAATAAGCCAATAATTTAAAGAGTTCATCATTATCTAGCATGACATACTTTACCGCGCATACTTTACTGTTATCCATCAACATCTTAATTTGATCACGTTTTTTACGAAAAGAAATTCTCGCTTTTATTGGATATTCCAACATGATCAGAGTTTAGAACAAATTACAACTAAATAATGCAAAAAAGCATCAAAATTTCTTTTAACAAATTTCCAGAGGTGGAGCTTCTATATGACTTTAAAATATTAAACAATAAAAATTAGAATCAGTCAAGTAACCTTCTGATCATCTTGTATATTTATTATTTAAATATTAGTGTTCACAAAAAATGTTTTTGTTGGTATAGAAGATCTTCTTAATCTACCTCTTATAATTCGTACTGCAAGAAACCTATTGAAAGATCTAAAGATAAAGAATTTGTCAATTAATAAAATAATTTTACAAGACTGTATAATTACAAACTCTAGTTTTCTTGTTGCATATTAGTTTTGAAAAATTAGGTTAATGACCTCATAATATCCTGTTATATATAATGCTTATAAGGAATAAAATTATTGCAGTTCAATTTTTTTATCCGTAGTTGTATAATTCAAATATATCATGTCAAAAATAAACAAGTGTCCTGATACCTCTGAACAGTGGTGTGTCTCGTTTGAAAGAATAAAATATACGCAAAAATTTGTACAGATCGTTTACTGGATGGTTTCGAATGAAATTGCCTCCTGAGTCGCAGCCCCATTTCAGGTAACCAACAACATCGATAAAAGTATGCAGAAGAGTTATGTGCATCATAGCGTGGTTTAATACTCCGCTGAATTTCGTGTAATTCCATGGCTTTTGCACCTAAGAATAATTATCCTCAATTGAAAAAACAAACATTTTTTAATTATAGAGCAAAGAAGTTTTGTACAAATTATTTTACTACATAATTAAACTATGGATTTTTATCTATTTATACGAAATTGAAAAATGCAAAAATGAACATAATGCATATAATATACAGAAATGTAGTAAGTAAGGCAAATTTTTGCTTAGATTCCATTTCTGTAATTGTGTTCATAAAAATGTGCATAAAGGTCCACAGTCTCGTAGTAACAAAATATATACTATTTCATGTAGTATATAATACATAATAATATAAATTATATAAGATGTTAGTTTTTAGTCATTTAGTCTAAAAATTGAACATTAGATTCACCATTGTTAACTGAATATAGGTGAAAACTTACTATTCCAGGAGAACTCATGCTGAAGAGAACAGTTCCGACGAATTTCGGATACAAATACATGTCCGAGCCAATCATGACCCACTTTTCGCCAATTCCATCTTTCACAGCGTATAGTGCGCCAATCATGGCAGCAGTAAAGAGCAATAAATTACCAAAAATGGAAATAACCGCGATGTCGTGTAAATATTTCATCATGTTTATTACAAAGCAGAGTGGGAACAGGAACAAGGCGTAATACTCTTGATCTAGGATTCTTTCAGAATCAAAAGATTTTTGTATTATCCCAGATATGAATACAACGTACACTGCACCGATTCCTATATAACACATTAGGATTGTTGCATCGACGAAATATCTGAAAAATTCGAAAGAATTGTCCAATGAAATACCATACGAAGAATTGGTCCTAAAAAGAATTGTTTTTCTCTTGAATTCTTTTATATCATTATGGCACGAGGGGTGAATGAACTAATTATAACGTGACCAAAATATTGATTACGTTACTTTTATCTGACACACTGAATTTTATTTTTTATTTTTCTTCTTTTCTTGTTCGTCTGAATTTGATATTGATTTGTAGCCTGAAAATTTGATAGAAAAAAGGGGATAACTTTTCCAAAAAGTACTTAAATTTATTTTCCATTAAAATTGCTAGTATTATTGGAATGACTAACTTATAATCCTACATAGAAATTTTATAAATTTATAACTATATGTTTTTAATATATGAATCATGAATCAAGGTTTATCTTTTTCCTTTGCATTAAGAAATTTTTTTTTTTTTTGGCAGTCTTATATTTTAGTAGTCAAAATCGTATTATTATGATATATCATATTAATATTATAATTATGTTGAGCACCTAATGACTTTGTTGTCTTCCATCTTCGTATCACTTAATCTCTCTCTCATAATCACCCTATTTATCTACTGATAATGTTTCTTTATTAAATATCGTCAATAATCAATAACCTCGAATATTAAAAAATGTATTGATGTCTCTTTGTAAAATAAACTACAAAATTACTAGATGCAACGGATAAGGTTAAAGTAAATTTTTTTAGAAATAAAGTTTCGTGCGAAGAAACATTATTTTATGTTTTCTATTTCTTTTATCACATAAAATCATTTGACTGGTTTCATATCAGTTGCAAGATACCTTATAGATTATCAATCTTCGTTATAGATTGGTTCATGCATCTTATACACGAATGAATTCATATCTTTCATTCGCTGCAACAATAACATAATTTAGGAATTATGTTTTTATGAAAAATGAGTTTGAATCGTTATAATTTTCTGAAAACGCATTAAGTTGCTAAATTAGTATAATAAGATGTCGAACTTGTATATAGAAAAATGTTATAATATTCTCATTTAATTCGATAAATTTATATGTATCTTTAAAACTATTCCGATTCTGAACTGTGACATTCTTGATACGAAATTAATATAAAATAATCAAAAATGAGAAGGATCTATTAGATCGGAAGATATAAGCCTTTTAAAAATAAATGATAAATTAACAACGTTTTATAAAATGTTAAAGATATAAGTATTATGAAAGAGATACTTTAATATTTTCAATATCTTAATATTATGGCGCGCAAATATTCTATTCCATATATTCTAAAATTATAAAGGAGGTGGGAAAACTTATTTTAATCTTAAGAACAACTACAGTCACTTTTGGTAATATAAGATTTATTGATATATTGAATTTTTAAGCTATTCCCTTTTAGAAAATGAAATTTTTTTAAATCATTTATTATGTTTTTTTCTTGTACTCATTAGATACAGAGTGGTGGAAAGTAACAGGTATGTTGAACTGAACTGCAAGATTTCTTTAACTCTACTATGTTTCTTGAATTAATTTTAATCCTTCACATGTTTTTTATTCTCCACAAATTTTGCAAATCTGTAAATTTTTAGGTTTGAAAATTGTTCTTTTTATTCTTAAGAAATTTCTTAAACTTTTTTTAAGATTCTTTCAATTATGAAACCTTTGTTAATTTATATGACTTCTCTCGTTTCAATTTTACCAAAAAGGTTCTTAAAACATTAAAATTGCTTGCTTTATTTACCCGTGTACTTTTACTACTACATAGATTAATCACAATCAACAAAACACGTTCTTCGGAAACTCCCACCATCATTCCACCCCTCCAAAAAGAAAGTATCATTCTCAGACCCAAAGCCAAATAACAGAAGATTAAACACCTTGTAACAAAGTTACACTAAAGATTTTCTTTGGAAACATTTCCGGATCTGTTCGTCACGTTGGCTATTTTCTCACGGACTACTGCGGTCGATTGCTCGACATTAACATGAATTTCTCGGACAACTAATTTCCAGAGAGGCCTGGGACAACGTCGAAAGATAGAATAAGGATTGGATACCCGATTCCACGGCCTGGTATTGTGATCCTTTCACTCGGCTGGACCGAGCTGACCGACTTAACGGGAACGCGAGTTCAGTTACGGAGATTTTCCCGGGGGATTTAACGCCTCGCGGCTTCTCGCGGATTGGATAAAAGGGATCATCGGCGTGAGCTTGAACCGTGAATCGTGGTTAAGGCCACGACGACAAACCGCTTTCTTTTCGAGTGAACTACCCAAGGGGGAACGGGGATCGGTTGGAGAATTCACGTTAAAACGTTGACACGAAAACGTTCGAATTACTGTTTTGGGGCGATTATACATTGAAATTACGTTTTTAAAATTAAGATTTTTAGGAATTACCTTTCCCAAATTAGTATCTATCTATTTATATTACTGTTTTGGAAATATTACTTATAGAAATTATTACTTTGTAATTATTATTTATCAGAACAACAAAATAACTGTTTGGAAATTACTATTTATTAAAACTTCTCTTTCCAAATTGTTATTTGTAGAAATTACTCTTCGGAAGTTATGATTAACCTATTAAAATTACTGTTTCCAATTAATTATTATACTTATAATACTTGACCAATCTTCAAATATCGATTTTCAAATCTCTTTTTTCTCGAAAACGAAACGTCATATGAACAGACATTATTTTATGTTTTCGATTTACTTTTTCACTTAGAATCACACCCACTTTTCGATTGTATCATGATTACTGAGACACCTTATACATAAATGATAAATCGAGAGTCCGGTTTTGGTATCGCTTCTCTACCATTTTTATATTCCAGCTTTCGTCTTTCCAATATCAAATTGACACCACCGTATCTGTTGTTCTCCATTTCACCTTCGATCTCAATGATTTCATCTCCTCAAATCTCCCAACATCTCGCATTTACTAACAATGGTAATTGCGTTTCTTACTGCTCTCTGACCCGAGCCTAATCGTTGAGTGAGCCGGAAATCCTACCACGTGCTCTCCGTTACGTATCCCTGCAAAACTTCTGTCCTATGACCGGCTGAATCCACAAAAAAAGCTGGCGGCCAACCTAAAAGAGTAATAGAGAGAAAAGTGCCGATGGACGAGGTGAAAAGCGAACGAAAGAAAGGGAATCAACGAATGTAACGTAGAAGGGAGAAAAGGAGAGGGAAACGCAGCGAATTCGTACCATTTGGTCCGGATTCGACGTCGGTTAACGCAGCAGGGTTGCGCGGACGCCTCGGCGGACACATTGAGGGCGCCCGCTCGACTTGATAATCGTTTGCCATTCATACACTTTTCATTGGATTGCGATTGAGCATTAAGAAACCGGAGGAGAGGCTGCGCTGCACCGCGTATTAGCATTAGGAGGCATCATCTCGAGTGTAAACACTGCATGGGTACTGCGGATTTAGTCACAGTCTAGCGCCGCGGGACGTCTCCCTGACATTATAGTTCCTTCACTTTCTCCTTCTCTCTTTGGCGCGCGTGTACACCAGTCAATGTGTACCTTCGATTCCTATGTCGATTCTTATGTCGATGCCTATGCATGGCGACTGCTCCGCTACCTTCGATTTCTGGTCAATACCTTCCACATATATGATGGATAGTTTTTAATAGTGAATGATTTTGCGGTTTTTCTCCTTAATTCTTAAATATTCTTAATTTCTGATGCCTTTCTTAAGACAACTATATCCATGTGAAGGAGTTTTGGCAGTGGTTTTAGTTCTTGTTCTATTTTAATTATTCTCTGTTCTATTTTAAATATTTTCTATTTTAAATATTTTAAATGTTCTATTTTAAATATTTTCCTATCTGCAATGGACAGGGCATTATTAATAATGGATGATTTCAAGGATTTTCAGGTATTTTTGACAAGATTTTCTTTAGGATTATTAAAATTCGTAGTGAATAGGAAGGTTTTAGCGTTTGTTTTGTGTACATTTCGTGTCTTAAATTGTAATGTAATATCGATATTGCATATATCGCTGTACAATGTGGTCGATATGTGCGTCGATTCCTGTTTCATTTCATAAATATCCACTCAACAACATTTTACATTTTAATTTTATACGATGTAAAACATTCCACCGATCACTCCATCTAAATCCTTGAAGTAAAATTCATTTTTCACACAAAGAACATCTCACATCTCCTTCTGATTAAATCTCTCAGATAGTACCAGTCTGATCCTTAACAAAAAACCAAATTCAAACCTATCAGTACCGATTCAACGTATTCCAAGCATACGGTAATTACAAGTTCTTCCAATACAGTACCCAAAGCTAATTACTCATTAACATAACGTACGATCAAAGATGTAAAAATTACCAAGAGAAAACCATTAGCAATCTTTTTTTCCACATCAAAACAAGAATCAATGAATTAACAATCGCATGCCCCTGCGTTGCACAAACGGACGCAACCAAACGCAGTCTCTGTTCAAAAGTCTCATTCGTCAATTATCCAACGTGTATGCCTCACTTTTCCATACGAATGGCCGACAAAATGGCTGCAAAGATCGTTTTCAACTCCCTCCATGCGATTCGCCGCCGGCAAAACAACATTTTGACACGAAGCGTTTATCGGGAATCGAGATTTGCTGAAACGGAAAGCGAAACAGAGTTTCGGGACGCGTTCAAAAAATCGCTGTCCGCGAAGGTTCTTGCCGCTGACGTTTTTTGGTCGCGTGCAACAAGCCCGTCTACGATGAAAAACAGAAAAAGAGAGAAAGGCAGAAAGAGAAAAACAGAGAAAGGCGGAAAAAGAAGAACAGAGAAAGGGGAGAGAGAGAGAGAGAAAGAGAGAGATGGCCGGAGGCTTGGTGCAACGGAACCGTTCCAGCGAACGATTCTGTTTGCCGACACGCACGTTCAACGAGAAAGATCGTTTTTCGGAGTCAGTGATTCGAATCGCGTGCTTCTGCCCGATTCCGATGTCCTGGAGGGCGCTTGAAAATTTT